TGGTTGGTATTGCGATCCGCCGCCTGCTCTCCCACTAACCACCACCAGTACCCAACTGGGCCGTTTCCAGTGAGCAGATGTTCCCCAGCAGAATGACTCTAAACCAGTCCAGCCTGCTGTACGGACAGCTGGAGGACCTGCAGGAGCTTGCCTTCATCGAGAGGCCGATCCGCAGGAGTCTCAAGGTATTTTTCCACATCAGCCTCTGACATTCTCACTAACACCGACACACAGTCGTGTGTTGAAGGCATGTTCAGATGTGTGACATGTGGAAGAGGATGATGATAACGGAGGTGATAGTGTGACATACTGTATGAGTCAGTGGGAGGAAGATCTGCCTCCATGCAGGAAGCAGAGGGGAGACCCGCTATCGAAGCAGCATGACGCAGTTTCTGTCTGTCTGTCTGTCAGCAGTCAGACAGGTGGACAGTCTGCAGTCACACAGGTGGACAGACGGGAGGTAGTAAGACAGGTCGGCAGACAGGTAGACAGTTGTGAGGCAGGTGGACAAACAGGATCTCAATGCACATTTATCTTACATTTGTGCGAAGGTGACAAAACTGCTTAAAGCTACAATATGGAACTTTATCCAAATATATATATATATAATTATTTATTGGCGAAATCTGCTCCAAAACGCGTCTTACTGGTAAAATACACTGGAAGCCAGACAAGTGCTACTGAAGCATGATTCCATTCATTCCACACTGAAAGCAAGATGTGAGAGGCACATTCTGTGACAGAACAACCGTCTGTCTATGGGCAGGACAGCGGCCAGACAAAGAGTCTATTCCAGGCAGACTACAACACAAAAATAGTTTTCATGTGAGATCATCAGGAGGAAATTGCATTGTTATATATGTAACAGATACCAGTAGAAACATGATTTAATCAATCATAAACCTCAGAAAACAGAGCAACAAGTAAAAAACAAGACGACCAAATATCTATTTCTAAATATGTACAAACTGTATGTACAAGTTAAAATGAGCTATTTTGTCAGTTATTGCACTGCAGTGTTTGCTATAGCTTGTTATACATATAAACACAGTGTTCATCAGAGCGACAGCCTGGGAGAAGAAACTGTCCCTGTCCCTGGTTGTCTTGGTGCACAGTGACCTGTAACGCCGTCCAGAGGGGAGGAGTTCAAACAGATTGTGTCCAGGGTGTGAGGGGTCTGCAGTGATCCTCTCCACCCTCCTTTTGACCCGTGAGGTGTACAGGTCCTCCATGGAGGGCAGGTTCACATCAATGACCTTTTCTGCAGTCCTGACTGTCCTCTGAAGTCTGTACTTGTCCTGTTTGGTTGCTGAGCCAAACCAGACAGTGATGGAGGTGCAGAGAACAGACTCGATGATTCCTCTGTAGAACTGTATCAGCAGCTCCTGGGGCAGGTCGAACTTCCTGAGCTGGAGCAGGAAGTACATCCTCTGTTGTGCCTTCTTGGTGATGGTCCTGATGTTGGACGTCCACTTCAGGTCCTGGGATATAGTGGAGCCCAGGAACTTGTAGGACGTCACTGCTGATACAGTACTGCTGAGGATGGGGATGGTGGTGGGGTCCACTGTTTTGAGCATGTTTAGTTGCTGGCTGTTGTGACTGCACCACAGGACTGACACATTTGATATAATGGAATCTGCTGTGTAAGATAGATGTGAGACATGTAGAAAACACTTCCAAAAATGCTCCAGTGTCTTTTACCAGTGAACGTGGAGAGGTGCTGTCGAGGCCTCCTGAGGCCTCCTGTGACCCAGACTCATTGAACTGGTGCTGGCAGCAGTGTAGCGATATTAGCTTCTAAATGGTTTTGAGCAGAATTGACCTCTCTAACCAATCAAAAACTTTCAGTTATTTATGCTTGATCTTAAGTTTTTGTTGCAAGTTTGTTTTTGGAATTTCACAAATGACAAATATCTGAAAAGCTGGGCAGAGCACGGTGGAGCCATTGACTGTATATTAAAGATGGACAAATCTTCTGCAACGTCACCCAAGAGTGATTTTGAAGCTCAAGTCTATCCATCATCATACTGGTAGCACTTCACTCTACCTGCTAAGGTGAATCCAAACAAGGGCAAAGAGGCAAATTGACTAGATAGCTAGCGGC